CAAAAATTTTAATGGTATCAAAAAAAAGCTTTTTTAGGTTTTTGCCTGGCAAATACTTCGAGAATCTGTTACTGATGAAGAACTTAGGAATGTTCAGATCTCTTTACGAACATTTCACGGTGAAACTGCCGCTCACTTGTTGTCTAGGCAACTGACAAAGGTAATCAACTTTATCACGGTAAATTAGAGTATTCTTAATTTCCACTTCTTGATATTCAGCAGAATCCTGGTTTTTGTAATACACGTGCTTTTGAATTTTTTTACTTTCCTAGTGTTTCCCTCTTACTGCCGCTGTCTGATCGTTCGCTTGAGACAGTTACAAAAGCAGCACTTTAAGAATCGATTCTCTTCAAATTTAATCAGTTCAAATTATTTTAAGTTCAGAAAAAGTTCAGAAAATTAAGTGTCTCAAGAACTTTCAAAACCTTCAAATTTTTTCAAAAGACAGCAGTCTGCTGCTTATTTAAAATCACCAAAAGTTAGAAAGAAGGAGTTACAATGATCAAATTATCATTCTAAACAGTCAACAAATATTGTGCTTTTGAAAATACTTCAAATTATGACAAAATATCTTATACATTGAACTGAACATTAAAAAAGTAAGTAGTTACTGGTAAGTTGGAAAAGTAGTGAAATTTTTAAGTGAAATTTGAGGAGGTTCTATTAGTATTGAAAAAAATTTTCAGATTCGTATGGTGGTTGAGGCGACAATGGCTTACTTTAAATGGGACCAATTGAGTAATGAACATCAACTAACAAAAGCCAAACTACTACTGAGCCATTTAAAGAATAATGCTAAAGTGCGCAACTGGACGTTAAGGGAAGGAAGGCCTAACAGGTAAAACTTTAGTATAGCTTTCTCATCATTTTGCAGGGTGCGACAATTGTATGTAAAAAGTCATTACCAGAAATAATTGTTCTTCACACTAACAGATCTTAAAGTTTGTCGGCGTTTTACGGTAGGGATGGGGAATCCTGAAAAGAAAGTGAAGAAGTTTATCAAAAGAACAAACTTTCACTAGCTTTGATTTTTTTGTAAAATTTTTTAAACTAATTTAAGCACTGTTTATTTACGTTTCCATCATACTTTGTTTAAAGTGCTCGAATCGAAGCTTAAGAAGGTTTTGGAGAAAACAGTCACAAATCGCTAAAAGCAAAGTGTTCTTTTTTGAAGAAAAATTATTTGATTTCTGCACAGGTGGCATAATTTTTCCCTTAATACGTTGAAAGTTTAGGTCGAACAGTAGCAACAGTGTCGAAATGATGTGGAAACGTTACGCAGCCTTACTTGGACCAAATGGACTTGCAGCTGTTGGATTACTACCTTCACAAACTCCAAACCTCAAAACAAACTAACTCAATCTACCTCATATTAATAATGTTTATTTGTGCTTAACTACTCAGAGAATTCTGTTAATCACTGCTTTGCCATTCTAATCTTTTTTTTTTCTTTCCTTCTTGTTACCTTATTAATTCTATT